GGTGGCCAGATTCTGTGCAACAGCATTGGGGTTTCGCCAGAAACATAACCATTTTAGATCTTTTTAATAATCTTTTAAAATTGATTTTATTACGTGTTTTATCTCGTTTTAGACTATACTCATTGTATTTTTAGTGACAGGTCAGTATGATTCAGTATTCTGAAGATAGCTTGTTTTTGATATACTGCCTGTAAAGCGAGGCAGACCTTGGTCGCCCATTGATTGCATTATTGATTGTGATATATTGCTATGTCCTCTTCTGATGGCTCTGTCTAGTTTTGTTTTATTTGGATGTTTGATTTATGTGTGGCTTTTGGCTGTAATAAAATTGAAATTGAAATATCCTATTTATTTGTTTCCCCCAATTTTTAATTTCCCATCAATATTCAAATTTAACTTTTAATATTTATACTTCCAAGTTTTAAATGACCAAAGTTTTCTTTATCACAATTCTTAACAAAATCTAGTATTCAAAATACACATCTTGTCTATTTGAGTATATTCTAGTTTAATTAGTAATATAAAATCTTCTCTAATAAATCAAAACCCCAATTTTCTTCAGCCTTATTCTGGCTTTCTTCCTTTGCCAGCTCATCTTCCACGTCAGTGCTTTTAAGTCATCAAATAGATCTCAGTCTGTTGTTATATATATTATTTGAAATAAAAGAGACCATCCAGTCACCATTTTTTTGGAAGGGCTAGCGAATCATCTCTCTATTATTCCAGATCCCCATAGTTGTCCTGATATGTTTGTCTTCCCTTCGGTCTGTTCTTCTTCTTGCTCCTCAAGTTTCTTCTGGTTTATATAGAAAGTCTTTTCCATTTTCAGTGTTGTCAGTCCCTTTTCTGGATTTTCCATTGACTGTATTTGTTGGTCAGTTGAATCCTCTATCATAGTATTTAATTGTTCCACTTCTTCTGTTATCTTCTGCATAGTTGATTCTTTAATTGTAGTCAAAATTTGGGTTCGTATATCTAGGCTGACATCTTGTTCTTTTCTGTAGCATCTTATTTCATCACAAGCTGAAAGAATGGTTTCATGTATTGCTTTCAACATAAAAAGAATCTTCATCCATATTCTCTTAACTAGCTGTACCCGGCCACGAGTTGCTGTGGCTCAGTCTGGTTAAATGGAAAAGATGTCACAGGTGTGATATCTATATAATAGTAGGTATATAAAAACACGCGCGTATTCGAATGCAACGTTGTGTCAAAAGTTCAAAGCAATCGGTGAAGAACTTTCGGAGATTTAAGATTTTGAACAAACGAACATTTACATTTTTATTTATATAGATGGTGTGCTAAATTGAGGGCTTTAAAGTTAGAGAATAAAAATAATTTTATAACTGAGTACAGAACACAGCTGAGCTTCTCACAGCTGATATTTGTCAAGGTTGTAAAAGTCTTATCTGTAGTCTGGGCTTCAAGCCAAGTCTCCTTTAGACAATAATAAGTTGTAATATCAAACCTGGCCACAAGATGTCACCAATGCCGTTTAAACAATTTTAAGTCCAAAATTTTTATAATCCTTTTTCCAATTTTATTTCTTTTTTGTAAATAAAAACCAAAGTCTTCAGTAAAGATAAGAAATCTTTTGGTCCCCAAATTTTAGAAGCATATAAATCCAGTTAGATTAAGGTTATTCTTTCAGTGTTTTAATTCCCCTGGATAGTCAGTCGCCGCTATTCTTAGAGGGTGGGATAGAAGTTCCCTTCCCTCTCTCTTTACGGGGGAAAATATTTTGGGCAGCGTTTACAGGAAAAAAATACTTAGGATTGAAGAGAGGTTCAGTTCTCACCCAGTCTCATCCGCGCTACTTCAGAAGTGCCTGGTGGTGTTCTGTCCCCCGTCCGACTCATACACCCCAACCAGTCAGTCGAGGGTTAAAAGACTGCTCAGCACTGCCAAAAACACAGATAAACACTTGGCAGCAACTCCGTGGCTGCCTGCCAAGACCTTTACTGATAACTCACAGTACAAATACAAATCAAAGTCCAGGATAATTCCGAAGTGCTACAACAGAAGATTCAGTATTGTTCATCACAAGAGTTTCAAACGGCACACCCCTTGCTTATATAGCCTG